AGGTATCCAGGTATCCTGGGTGCAACTGGGTTCCCTCCCCCTTTTCACTGTATCCATGCCCTCCTGATCCAGTCTTTCTCAGTAAGAAAGCAATGTGAACTATTTTAGAGGAGGAATAATAACAAGCCAGTGAGGTGGATTAGGCTGAGAGTGTGTGCCCAGACCAACTTCACCCAGCACATTTCCTTTGTAGGAAGTTGTAGTTATTTCTCTGGGGGAGACTATAGTTTTGTAGACAAATACATGGCCCTCAGTCTGTGTCAGGATGCCTTCTCATGTTCTTGACCAGCACATGAAGCAACTTATGTACAAACGGTTGCAATGCTCAGCCATTTCATGTTTTCCCCTGAGTCCTAGGCTTTGAAGACTGAGCATGAGATTTCTGTAATGAATGTCAATAAATCAAAAGTAGGTTTGCCGCTTACAGATACACACCTGAACAGCTTGCTACAGCACAGATATTTTGATGCAATAATTCAGAGCAAGAGCTGCCAGTTATCAGAGACTGTTAAACAGACAAAATATTGCAAGAGTGTTAGTGTTTTAAGCATGTTTTATTTAAAGTTTAAAATATCTTTAATTGTGTTTGTGTCCTTTATAAAGTTTATATCTCTGCTAACTGGCGTTACATTTTATAACACACACGGCCCTACCCAACAAAAACTCATTTATGTCAGATCCGGCCCTTACAACAGATGAGTTCAACACCCCTGCCATAGAGCTTTCTCCCCAAAGAATGGCCCTTCATCACCCTACAGTTTAAGGGGCGTTCAGGGACGATAGTCAAACTCTCTACTCATGCCTCCCTCCCTATCTCCCTTCATATGGCCAGAATGAGTTAGTGATGTGCTGTAGTGCAAACTATTTTTTCCCATCAATATATATAATTCTCAACATGGCCTCTGTCCTGCTGAGCAAACCTCCACGGTGGCTGTAAGCATCCCACCTCGTCTCCTACACCTGACAGGCAGCTGCCTGTCAGGTGTAGGAGAGGAGGGGGGGGGAGCTTCCAACACACTCCCCCCCCCTCCTACACCTAACAGGCAGTTGTCTGTCAGGTGCAGCCCCACCTCCCCAGTGGCTTCTAATACTCCTCCCCCTCCTACACTAGACAGGCAGCTGCCTGTCAGGTGTAGGAGAGGAGGGGGGGGGAGCTTCCAACACACTCCCCCCCCCTCCTACACCTAACAGGCAGTTGTCTGTCAGGTGCAGCCCCACCTCCCCAGTGGCTTCTAATACTCCTCCCCCTCCTACACTAGACAGGCAGCTGCCTGTCAGGTGTAGGAGAGGAGGGGGGGGGAGCTTCCAACACACTCCCCCCCCCTCCTACACCTAACAGGCAGTTGTCTGTCAGGTGCAGCCCCACCTCCCCAGTGGCTTCTAATACTCCTCCCCCTCCTACACTAGACAGGCAGCTGCCTGTCAGGTGTAGGAGAGGAGGGGGGGGGAGCTTCCAACACACTCCCCCCCCCTCCTACACCTAACAGGCAGTTGTCTGTCAGGTGCAGCCCCACCTCCCCAGTGGCTTCTAATACTCCTCCCCCTCCTACACTAGACAGGCAGCTGCCTGTCTAGTGTAGGAGGGGGAGGAGTATTAGAAGCCACTGGGGAGGTGGGGCTGCACCTGACAGACAACAACCTGTTAGGTGTAGGAGGTGGAGGGAGTGTGTTGGATGCCTGGGAGCCACATAGGAATCAATGGGAGGAGCACGTTTCCCCCCTTTTGATCCACTTAGGGGTCGAATTTCTAAAAATCCCTTCTTAGTGAGCACTTACGCCACGGTAGCAGTTCTCTCCCCCAATTTGGTGTCTCTAGGTCCAGCGGTTTGACCTGGGCGTTGATTTTATGGTGAGAGGACTTTCTTTTATATATATATAGATAGGACATCTCTTCATCTCTCTCTTACATGAGCTTGGAGCTGTAGCAAGTTAACCTTTTGAAGTTAATCTGTTCACAAGTTAAATGTACCTACATGAATATGTCATGTAAGATGTGCTTCTATTTTTGCTAGTAAAATTTCTTTCTCTTGTTACCATTTGAGTCAGATCATCTTTATTATTTATTTGATCAGCGTCTTTCTTTTAACCGGGAAATATGGAGGATCAGGGATACTGTGCTTTGAAGGCAAATGATTTTTTATTTTTTTTACATTTTACCCAATAAGAGGGGAAATCCCTTCTCTGGTTCTAGAGAGAGCACAGAGCGCTTTCCCTGTCCCCTAGGCAACACTCTTTTTACTCAGAGTATGCCTTCTTGTATTACTGAATATAAGGCATGAAGATTCCAGGTAGAGTGAAGAAGAAACAATTTATTAAACAAATACTGTAACATTTAAGTAAGTAAGAAAACAGGTACAAAAATGGGGCAGAATTGATACAGGGCTACTACAGCTACACTGGGCAAAACTAACACAGAAAAGAAGCTGGCTGGAAAATAGCAAAGGTCCCTAACATGACTGCTTTACTTAGTTTCTGTTTCTGTCTCAAACCTGATCCCAGTAGGCCAGACTCACCCCACTGTGGAGTAGGGTTCTCATCTGCCCACTTAAGGTCATGAGACCTCCAGGTAATTGTGGCCATCAGGTGGTTGATGGGCAGAAACTGGGGCCAAATGGGGGCTGGTGAGCATCCTGGCAAGAAATTTTTTTTTAAAAAATAAAGCCTTGTCTAAGCACAGGAAGTTCTGACCATATTGTTCATGGTAATTACTAGAGCTACCTGGAATTGATAAAGGGTAGCTCTAGGAATCAGTGGAAATGCTGTGTCTGGCAACCCTACTATGGGTTGAAGGATCAACTCTCTCCTACTGCCCAGCTTCCAGGAACAAACATTCTCTCTCACTGGCCTTATATGTGTTCTGTCCAAGCTCTGCCTCCTTACCAGTGATTGGCTTCTGCTTTTCCTACATTTTTTCCCAGCCAAATCAAAAGGCTTGGGGGGAACTTGGGAACTGTAGGCCTATTGTAGAATTTGCCCAAAGGTCTCAGGCTTTTGTGTAGCCTGCGGTCACACACACTAAATAATCCACTTTCAATCCACTTTCAGTGCACTTCCCAACTGGATTTTACTATGTGAACTGGCAAAATCTAGTTGGAAAGTGGATTGAAAGTGGATGATTTAGCGTGTGTGACCACAGCCTAAGAGAGGCTCCCTTGAGACTTACAGATCACTTATTCTTCAGCTCCAGGCCTAGGATCATGACAGCCCCATCTGTCTTCATGGAGGTAATTTGGTTGCTTTCTTTGAAGTTGTTAGTCTCAGTCCTCTAACAAAAAAGCATTCACCAGCTGGGAACCAAGGCTGGACTCAGTGGTGAATTCTATTACACCAGGTCTTTCTGTGAAGGGCTGCCTTGTAGTGATATCAACTCACAGTATTTTGGGATTGAGACTGGTGCCCACATTTGAAGTATTCAGTGTAAATATTGTGGGTTTTTTTCAAAGCCAAACTAAAGCGTTCTTGTTTTAGAAGACTGTTTCATGAATATTCCAATACTTCAAAGTTTTAAAATGAGTCAGAGAATTATAGAACACAAGGGAGTTATGCAGGTGTAATGAGAGATCTACACATACTATATCAAGTGCTAAAGACCACTTACTTGTGGGTTAAACTAGACAAGACAGAGCTCATGGATCTTCTGGCATTTTTTGCAAAGAAATCCCAGGTCACAATTAGAGATGTGAAGGCCCGGAAAAAAACCAGAAAAATTCGGGGGGGAAACGTTTTTTTCCTGTTTTTTTCCTGAAGCCTTTTTTGTTTTTTTTCCGAAAAATTGGAAAAATTGAGAAAAGAAAAGAAATTGATTATGGAACGTTTTACTTTAACATGATGAATAAAATATTTTAAGACAAGGTGTTCAAATATTTTCCAAATCATTTCTAAAATATATATATATGGTATCAGATTGATCTAATTTCTGTGCACTGAGGACAAGCAAGTCCTAGGTTACAAACTGAACTCTCCAATGCAAGAACAAGATGCATTTCTTCCTTTAGGAGGTGCTGTTGTCAGAAGAAAATAAAAAGGTTTCAGTTTTGGTTTTGCATGTGGGTGGGTATTCTGTTTGTAATAATTGTTTGGATACACTATATTTTTAATATGCTAGTTGTGATAATTTCATGCCAAGTAAAAATGTACATAGTCATATTTTATGTTCCTAAAGTAACAGAATGACTTTCAATCTAGAAAAGACAAAAGAAATGCTAATGAAGCATTTTTTTTTCAATTTTTCCGAAAATTTCCATTTTTTTCTGAAAAAAACTGGGGGGGGGAGAACGGGTTTTTTTTCCGAGGTTCAAAATTTCCCGAAATTTTACATCTCTAGTCACAATGAAGACCTGTGAAAGTGGAGGGATACCTCCCCCCCCCCCAGTCCAGCTGCAATCCAAGCTGGGGACATGCTCTCCTGGATTTTGCTTTTTGAAAATGTTGAAATCAGTTCACTTATATGAAGTGCTTTAAAACTTTCAATAATTGAAACCTGTCAAAAAGCAACAAGTCCATGATGAAGCTTCTGCTGTCTCAGGGTCAAAGTTCAGAATGATCTCAGATAGTATTGCACAAACTTCTATATATAAAAGAAGAAAAACCCTCAGATATTTCTGTCTTTTTCATTTGATGTATTAAGTAGAATAAAAGAGAGCCTTGACAATTAAAGCATATGACTAATCAACGTAAAAATAATTTACTATCGAAACACTAATATTCTATGAATTTTCTCTTTTTGTAATCTGTATTTTTTCGTCTGAGTCTTAATTATATTTTATTTTAGTAACATTTATTTAGCTAAGTATACTTACGATTGCAGCCTTTATTCAATATTTGAAAATTCATTGATCTTTTTGTACTGATACTTGGAACACTAATAGGAATGTTCCCTTATCAAAAGATTTTTACTGTATTAGGAAGATGGTAATAGAATGTTGGAATGAAACATCTTAAAAATAGCTTTGTTGACATACATTGTAAAGCTTTTTTTGTGTGTGTGTGTTTTTTTGCAGACCAGCTAAACCAAAGAATGTTGAATTAAACCTTAAAGGTTCTAGAATCTCAGAAGATGTGGGAAGTGAGCAGGATTCTCTGGACAAAGCTGCTAAGATTAACTTCAATATTGCCAATAAAATATCCATGTTTGAAAGCAAACATAGCAATCAAAATCAACCTACTGAAGTATCAACTTCAAAGAAAGGTGGTTCTGTATCAAGTACATTTGTTGGCAGAGCAAAGCTGAAGTTTGGGAAACAGACTGCTGAAGCTGAACAGACTAACAGAATAACAAGTAAACCAAACAGTCGCCAGAAGCCACTGCAAAATGGTGCAAAGTTAAAAGGAGGGTCTTTAGAGACAAAGATAAAAAATGAAGAAGGAACTCAAGCAGTCATTCTAAACAATGAGGAAGTTAGAAATAATGTGGGATCTCTATTGAATCAAATCGGTAAAGATAATAATGATGAAGATGATCAAGTGAGTGCTTTTGTTCCTAAGAAATTTGATTCAGAACTAGCTAAGGACAACTTACTACCAAAAACTACATCTTTGCACCTGATTAAAGAAATGGAATCCTCCCAAAATAGTGTAAATAGGAAAATGAATGCCACATCAGTATCATCTGAAAGTGGAGAGGAACTTTGTGTTGATAGAGATACTTATTCCCCTTATAAAGATGGTACAAACCTACAGCGATCTGACTTAGTGCACAAAAAAAATGAATTAGAGAACAATATGAATTCTGAGATTGATAGTGACGACAAAAAGGGAGGTATTTCAGAAAGTGTAGGAGTATTTGAGCAAAATAGGAATGGACAGGAAAGTCCAAGCAGTGCTTGTAATGTCTCTAAAGTAGGCAATGATGGCAGCATTTGTGATTCTCCTTCAGATATGGAAAAGTTTGCTGAAACAATTAAAAATCTAGACAGTGCTATCTGTATACCTCAGAAAAAGAAAAAGAACAAACTTCCAAAATCACCTGCACCTCACTTTGCTATGCCTCCAATACATGAGGACAACCTAGAAAAATTTTTTGATCCTAATGTATTTACAGTTGGCTTGGGAATAAAAAGGGACAGACCACTAGATCTAGCCCCATGCTTACAGCTTAAATTGCAAAGCCTAGAAACTGAGTCCAAAGTCAGACCAAAACGTGCCTCTGCTGAAAACAGCATGCTTCTGCAGTCGCTGAAATCATCCAACAGAAGAGATCCTGCAGTTATTCAGGAAACAAATGGGAAAGAGAACATGGATGGCATTGATGGTGACGTTAAGAGATCTCGACTTGAAAATAGTGCCATCTTTTCAAGCCTGCTTTCAACTAAAGAAAAAGTGTTTATGCCTTCTGTAACCTCTATAAATACTATCACAACATCATTTACATCTCAGAAGAGTGCTGATTCCGCAGGGAAGACACCTTTAAGATTTGATACAGCTCAGCTATTGGAGGTAACAGAACAAACATCTGTATAAAAATCATAAACTACTTTGAATAGGAAGCATATTTTGATTTCTGATTGTGTAATTCAGTCTCTTCCAGGTTTCAAAGCTCCAAAGTACATGGAAAAATATTTACAAACTCCCGATGCAAAAAAAGAGAGAATTTTGCAGATGCCAAATTTTGGAAATACTGATACCAGTTTTTCAAGCTGGTTGCAGTCTGGCCAATATGAACCAAACTTCTCCCCTGGTTTCTTAGATATGGAGGTACATTTAATGTAGTCAGCTTACCTAGTTTTAGACTTGTGACTGCATGGTTTGCATGTTTGGCATGTTGAATTGATTGTAACTTGATTTGAATTTTCCCATCTTCACTGCTGTGAAATACATATATTTTTAAGTTGGAGCTGAGAATAACTAAATGTTTAAATGGCAATTTGACTTTCTAGAAAAAAGGTTTTCTTCACCAGGCACTGGTATAAATAGTTGTCAAATATGATAATGCTATCACTTGGGGGCAATGAAATTGGCAATGAAATTATTCAAAAATAGTTCCGAACAGACAGAAGGAAATAGTTCTTTAGTTAACAAGTAATTAAACTGAGGAATTCACTGCCAGCAGAGGTAGTGATGGCCATGAGAACAGATACCTTTTAAAAGGGGGTTAGAGATATTCTTGGAGCAAAGGTCCGTCAATCGCTATTGAAAATGGTGACTGAAGGAAGCCCTCACACACAGAGGCAGCAAACCTCTATATACCAACTAAGCTCTGTTGTTTGGCCTCCAGGGCAACTGGTTGGCCACTGTATGCTGGAGTAGATGGACTGCTGATATGATCCAGAAGGCTCTACTTACATTTTTTTTAAAGCCCCCAGAGGGGATTTTTTATTGATTTTTTATCACTACAAAAAACTACAACAGAAAACTACATATATGGGAGAAAGTAAAGTACCCACTACTATCTAAAAACCCAAGAGAGGATATCCTCCAACTAGCTTTTATACATCCAGTCTTTTCATTGTTTTTCTTTTTATGAACTGTGTCAAACTTTTAAAACTTTTTACCTTCCCAGTTTATATTTAACTGCCCAATAACAGTTCCCACAATCATCCCCAGGAACCAAAGTTCTCAAAGGCACAATTCAGAGTCCTTCAACCTTTTTACTTCTTCTCTCTTCTCTTCCGCAACTTGTAGGGACTTTTCGGGGCCACTGCCCCCTGCTCCGACAGAGAGCCCTCACCAGATGAACCAGTTTCCAGCTCGCTACTGGACCTGCTGTCCTCTTCTTTTTTCTCGTCCTCTGGCCTTCCCAGCTGTTCCTTTAGAAATTCTTGAACTTTCAGAACAGAGTCAATCTTTTCCTTCTCTTTGATCTTAAATGCTACACCTTCTGGAAATAGCCATTTATATCCAATTGAGTTTGTTTGGAGAAAGAGCACAAGTTCTTTATATTTCTTTCTACGTTGTCTTACTTCAAATGGAATATCCTTTAGCCTTCTGGAAATAGCCATTTATATCCAATTGAGTTTGTTTGGAGAAAGAGCATAAGTTCTTTATATTTCTTTCTGCGTTGTCTTACTTCAAATGGAATATCCTTTAGCGTTCTCACAGCATTCTCCCCTGCCTTCAGGGGTGTTGCCGCTACTGCTTTCAGGATAACATCCCTGACGTGCCTCTTCGAGAATCTTACTACAATTTCCCCAGACAGATTATTTTTCTTTATATATCCTGTAAAGATACAGTTTTCTTTTCCAATTTTTGTACTTTCGTCTTCACTTTCTGCGTTGATTCAGCTACTTCCTTTACTTTCTCAGCATCCTGCTTCATTACTTGAATAAGATCAGTTATTTGCATTTGTTGCGCAGAAATGCTCTGTGTTACCACGGACATCTGCTCTTTGAAGTTATTCAGCTGTTCCAGTAGAGGGCGCATGAACTCAGCTATAGCTTTTGCCATCTCACTGGTAGTTTCCGGCTTAGGGGACTCTAGTTTTGTTTTCAAAAGTCTTTCTTTGTCCCTCTTCCCCGCCATCTTTTGCCGTTTGTTTACTTTCGGAAAGTTTTTTAAAAGTCTTTGAATATGCGCTTGGCTGCTTAGCTCGATTGGGTAAGTACTTCTGGGCAATTTAATCGTGTTTCTCTTCTGCTCCCCCCCTTCACTCAACAGTCTATGCGTATGGGAGGCGTCCCCCCCGCTCTCTCTTCCCATTCCACGGAGTAGGGCAGGGAGCGTCTTTTCTTTCAAAAATTATTTCCCAGTTGACTCACGTTCATAGTTGGCCTTCCAACCACGCTTCTTTCATCATTTTTCTCACCTGATCTCCTGCACTTGACCCGGTTAACTTCACTTGTACCATTCGGTCTCTCGGCTGGAAGAACCACCAGAGCAAAGGGCGCCTCAATTCTCTGGCATTCCGCCATCGAAGAGGCTACCCCTCAGTGCTCCTTGGCCAGGGTCCCTTCGCCGGGCCCCTGGGGGGGGGTTTACGAGCCTGCTTGCCCTCTCCTTCCACCGGAGCACAGAGACACCCCCGGGAGGTCTGGGAGGTGAGTCCGCAAGCGTGCCGCCATCAACCGGAAGTCGGCTGTACTTACATTCTTAATAACAATGTAATTTTTATTATTTAAATTTATGTTCTAATTACATATATCTTCCTTTGGAATACTCTCTGGTGTTCTGAAAATGTGTTTTATTAAAAAATTATGCTTTTATCTTTTCATTCTTTCAGTCAGACAGTGTCAATAATTTGGAATGCAAATATTTTTAAGTATTTCTATCCCACTTTTCTTCCCACTGTGATACCAGAGCGCTCTCTCTCTCTCTCTCTCTCTCTCTCTCTTTCTCTCTCTCTCTCTCTCTGTGTGTGTGTGTATACACACACACACACACACAAGGACTTGTGGAGGAATTCCATCCTCTCATGCACAAGGCCATCCACTCTCTGGTTCCAACTGTTCGTCTGCTTACCTACCTGCATTGATGGTGGTGGCTCTTTTTCCTTCTTCTTCCCCACCTACCCTGGCTGCCTGCAGCACTTCTGGCTCACACAGTGGCAAGGGAGACAGCAGCAATTCCTGTTCTTCCTCTCTGTGGCAACCTATTGCATGGTGCTGGCTGGGCCCAACTGCACAGTGGGTTTCCTCTGTATTCCCCTCCCCACACTTTCCCTCTCTTTTTCTTGTCCTGGGCAACCCCATATCCTTTCCTTTCCCTGCTTCCTTCTCTCCTTCCCACCCACCCACCAATCTAGATTTTTTTGTCCCCATAATAACCTATTTTTATTATTCATTTACTTCATTTATACCCTGCTTTTCTCCTCAATGGGGATCCAAAGCAGCTTACATAATTTTCCTCTCCTCCATTTTATCCTCACAACAACCATGTGAGATATGTTAAGCTGAGAGTTTGTGACTGACCAAAGTCACCCTCTGAGTCTCCATGAGAGAGCGAGGATTCAAACCTGGGTCTCCTAGATCCTAGTCTGAAACTCCAGCAACCATAGCTAATGCAGGGTGCATGGAGCAATGCCCCTCCCAAATTCTCAATGCCCCCCGTCTGAGAAACCACCCCACACTCTTCGCCTGACAAGGTGTCTGGGCTTGCTCAGCATTCTCCTTGGCTGCTGCCTGCTGGAGCGGCGCAGCATGCACTAGGCTGACAAGAGCAGGTCCCTGGGCCAGCTGTCTGAGCAAGCCAAGATCAAGTCCATCCTTCTCCACTCTCTGCAGTGGAAGCCACCCTTACTGATGGTTGGGAACAAGAGCAGGCATCTGACAGGCCTTGGGGGCTGACCTGACTCCAGATGCCGTGGGAAGCCTTGCCCCACTCCCGCGCACAAGCAGAGCCCTGACAAGAGCCCTGGTTCATACATATATGAATAACAGCCACCCTCCCAGGTTCTGATTAGAGGCAATGTGGAGGGCTTTCCAAGCCGCACCTCTCTCTTTGGGTGTCTATTTTCCCACACAAATCCACAGAGGCAGGCGTGGTGGTTGCCTGGAACAGCAACCATAGCCTGTGTTACTGCAGGGGTGTTATTAGGAACCAGACTAGCTTGTGAGCAAAGAGAACAGCATTTGAGGCATCCATGGTTGGTGTCACATGAGCTCGATGACCCCTCGTCGCTGTCGCTGGCCCCCTGCTGCTCCGACCTATACGCCACAGCGCCCTGCCTCCCGAGGAGTGGGAACGGGGAACCACGGAGGCCTCAGATGTTCGGGAGGGGAGGAGGTTACGTCACCACCCTCCACACTCCGTCGGCACACTCAGACACGTCTCTCTCTCACTTCTCCCTTCAGTGCTGTTAGTGTTGCTTTCTCCTCCCCAGCCTCTGCTTCTGTTCCTCCTTTTATTCCCACCTCGTGTCACCTGCTCCTTTCTGTGGTCCGCCCTCCACCCCAGTTACGGCCCCGCCCCCTCCTCTTGTACTGGGACGCTGGGCTGGGGTGTGGCTTCCTTCCGGCCCTAGCTTCCTTGCCCATCCCACGTCTCTCTCCCTCCATGCTGCTCTGTGCTGTGGTCGGGCCCTTGCGCCGAGCCGTTGGCCCGGCGCAGTCATCTCCACTCCTCCCGGGACACCCCCCTCCTGCGCTGGCCACTCCCCGGTGGAGGCTCTGCCCAGGCGCCACGGAGCCACCTTGACGGGTCCCAGGAGCTGTGGCGATGGCGTGTCAGGTCGGCCCCTGCCTCCGGTAGGTTCCTTTGTCATCGGTGCTGGGGTGGGTGGTGGCACCAGAGTCCCTGGGGAGGCTTGCCCTTGGGACAGTTGGTGTAAGTGCTGCTCCCCCAGTCATGGAGCCCTGGTGGATTGCCTGGGACGTCTCCCTTATCCGCACCATTATTGGCGGTAAGAAAGGTGGAGGAGATAGGCAGGTGGGTAGGCATGGTGACATTGGCAGGGGATTCCTGTGATTGCACTGCTGAGAGAAGGGGAAATTCCAAACTCATTCCCTCGTCTCCCTCACCTCTTTAATTTGAGTATCTTCTGTGCCCAGAGTGCGGTCTGCTTCTCTCATTTCTAATCAGTGTCATTAATGTCCCACCTTCATGGAACACAAGCCCTGTATTGCTTTTGGGCAGATATTGTGTGTGTGTGGTGAAAAAC